CAATGGTGAACAAACAGATTGGGCAATTCAGAGCTTTATATATAAAGTCATTGTTTTGATAGTAGGGCTTTTGTTAACTTTTTCCCCTTAGTTCAAATCATGGGAGAATATCTTGATTAGGATATATAAGGAACAATTTTCCTCCTGCTGCAGGTTCCGATGTGGTTCTGCAGGGCAAGGAAGGACAGATCCTTTTTTGGCATCTTACATTTTACCAGCTTGTAGTGGGAAAGCAGTATGAGGAGGAGAGAGTTCATCTTGGGACTTTCTCTAGGGAGGAGCCACATCATAGGGACAAGACCAGATGGAGTTTTATCAATTCTTGGACATTCTTGATCCCTTTTTTTTTTTTTTTTTGAAGTTTTGGACATCTTGTCCCTAGTTCAGCAATACGTAATGAGATAATTTCTCAAAGTGGAAAATGGACTCAAAGCTAAAAATATTATATCCTAAAAATTCAATATCCTGAGGGTGTTGGGTGGCTCAATAGATTGAGCATCCAAGTCTTGATTTGAGCTCGGGTCATGATCTCAGGGTTGTGGAATTGAGCCCCACATCAGACTCCCTGCTTGGTGTGGAGTCTGCTGGAGATTCTCTCTCCCTCTGCCTCTTGCCCCCAGAATAAATAAATAAATCTAAAAATAAATAAAAATAAAAGCAACAACAACAAAAAAACAACTTAGGGGTACCTGAGTGGCTCAGTTGGTTAAGCATCTGCCTTCAGTTCAGATCATGATCCAAGGGTCCTGGGATCAAGTCCTGCATCAGGCTCCCTGCTCAGTGGGGAGTCTGCTTCTGCCTCTAGCCTTCCCTCCTCCTTGGCACACTCAAGACTATCTTTCAAAGAACCTTGGTTTTCATTTTTGTGCTGATGCTTTGTGTCAATGTCCCAAAGTACCAACATAAGATTTAGATGTGTTTCTTGAGTGAGGGGTGGGGATTAGCTAATACTCATAGTTATTCTATCAAAAAATCTCCATAGCTGGCTTTGCTATCATTGCTCAACTGTTTATCTAACCAAGTCCTTCAGGTTTAAGGACGTTTTAGGGGTTTTGCATACAATGCAAATGTTATCCTGGGAGGTTAAGGGAAACTAATGTCAACCATTAACCTTAAAATCAACAATTAATACGTCAATCCAAATGAGTTTATAATGTTTTCTCTAATAATGAATGGGCCAGTGGTTGCTAAATTTTCTGAGTTACTAATGCTGGAATTTAAGATGATATAAGGGATTAAAAGGTAAATAGCAATTCCTTAAAAGAGTGATTTTTAGTATATTCCATTATATTGATACAATATAATAATAATATAATCCATGATAATTGATATCTTTATAGATAGATAGATAGATAGATAGATAGATAAGATAGATAGATAGATAGATAGATAGATATAAAATTCAAATTCACTTGGTAGTAGATACAGCTCTTCCTGATGAACTGTACCAAATGGGGGTTTGTGTAGAAATGTTCATGTCCTTGATGTTATGTCAGGAAAGAAAATACAAATACCAAGGAGTTAAAAATTCTCATGGTTTGTAGTAAACAAGGATCCTTTTGGGGACATTGGCTTATCTGTGACTTAAAGGAGCATGTTCTTCCCTGTTCCACTCCATATATTTCCACTCAATCCTTAAGCTTAGTTGTTCTGACCAACATCATTTTGCATATATATATATATATATATATATATATATATATACACACATATACATATATATATAAATATATAGAATTCCCAGCTCTTACAAAAAATAAGTTTTCATTAGATCAAACATATTGGCAAAACCATGCATTGCTTTGTATTCTAATAAAAATAACTCGAATAAAACCTTGAACTCTTCTGGTACAGGGAACTGCTTTTGTCACCTTCTGCAGGTAGAACTCTACACAGTGCTTGGCACAAGAGGGACACTCAAGAGCTGCCTTCTGGCTTGTGCAGTGGTGGGTCTTTTGAGTAAGTGTCTTGTGATAAAAAATTTTAGTGGAGATAAAAGGTTTAGAAAGTCTACTGCTTGAGGTGGTGGTGGTACTGGTGATTGCACTGTCTTGTGTTAGGCATCATGAGTTCTATCCTTTCTGGTGAAAAGAACTAATAAAAATGAGAGGTGGATGGGTCAATGAGCATATGGGAAGGCCAAGGATGGAAGAACACAGAAAATCAACTTTCTTTTCTTTATAATTGTATGTATGTACAATTTCTTTCACAAATTCAACAGAAAGTTAAAATGGGGGCTTTTCCTGACAGAACTTGAATGAGATCCTTAGAAAATTAACATCAGATAGTGAGGTATGTGTGAAAGAGTTTACCATAAACAGATTTTGTAAAGGAAATAGGTCAGAAGCTGTGGCATGATCCTTGCATCTCTTTGTTAACTTCGAGAATAAAAAAAGTTTTTATGGAGGGGATAGAAAAAGAGCATACTTCAAAACTACCTTAGGAAATAGGCTGGGGATACCCTGTTTGTTTCAAGCCTACTGAGGGATGACCACACGATGACGCAGATAGCTCTGAAACGTGTGTGAAATGTGGGCTCTGCTTGACTCATGAGTGAGGAGGATACATACAGCAGCCTGAGGCAGGAGAACAGGTATAGTTGCCCTGAGGTGGACCTACTTATACTCCAGAGTTTTGGGGTAACAGTGCACATGTGTCTCACTTACTTATGTGACACGGAAAAGAGAACTAAGGTGGAGCCCTCAAATCCTTCTAACAAGGCCAACTAGATGGCTGAGGATACCTATGGGGAAGATAGAAATAACGAATAAACCTGAATGCCATGATGAAATGATGCCATGTTCCTACGAATCACAAAGCTTTACAGTCTACCATCATAATGAGAAAAGCATTCACCCAGGTCGAGGGGATTTTAGGAGTGGGCTGTTCTACACACCCGTACAGAAGACTCTTGAAGTTAAAAAAAAAAAATTCAACCTTAATCATCTGTTAAACCCAGAAAACTTGAAGCATGCTAAGGAAAGCCCAGCTCAAGACCACCTCTGTCTTCCCCACTGCTGCGACCTGGGGAATAGACACTGGCTGTTGGAAGAAGAAGGATGCACTATAAAAAATAGAGATGCATCAGATGTATTCCATGCCCTGCCTACACTGGCATTTTCCCTTTGTTTTCAGCCTGAAGCAGATCCAAGCTGGGAAGGAAGATTTTATATTTGCTGTGGATAACGAGCTACAGTTTTGATTAATCTTTTGTGTAGGAAGCTCCATTTTTCTAAATTAAGACTGCATGATATAAAGTTACCAAAGGACCAAGAATGGGTAGAAGATTCAAGGACTTCTTGGGGTTTTCATTGAGGATAGATGGCATTACTGTCAGTAATTATACTTTTGAAATATGGGCAGCTGAATAAATCAATAGATAAATAAAGGTAAAACTGCATTTTGATCACACTATGAGCTGTGCTTGAGTCAGTTCATTGCATAGAGCTACTCTAGCTAGTGGCAATAATATTTAATATTTGTATAATTACTCCTTGTTGTTATGCTGTGATGACATATGCCCTTCCACCTACTTCTCGAAGGTGTGTTGACACAGCTCTTTTTGGTGTTATATTAGAGTCATTATTTTGAAAAATCAAGCATGGTGTGGGCTTTTGATTTTCGCTGTGAACATGAGGGATGAAGAATTAAGCCCTGCAGATGAAAACAATCTCATCCAGGCTCTTTCCCCCCATGTGCACTGTGATCTCCTCTTCAAGGCAGAGCTACCTTAGTATGTCAGACTTGGCATAGAATGTCATCTGGTAAACCACCAGTGATGAGCACGAGCTAAGACCCTCAGCAGCAGGAGCTTCTAACCCTCTGGCCTGAAAGATTTAATTACAGTATCCCTGTGAGAGAAGGAAGTTAGATTTGCTTCCATAGAGTTGCATTTTCTGCATTTGGATGATTTGTCTTTCCTATAAAACCATTTCCCAATACCACTCTGAAATCCTAAGACTGTTTACTTAGAAGCTTGTGCGGCTCACTCTCAGACCAAAGGCCACTCAGTGTCCTTGTGTTTACATTTCTACCTTTCAGATGCCTGGCCTTTGTGAGAACAGAATACAGTCCTCAGGGGAAAGCACTCAAGGCTCCTGTTGTCAACTCTGCTCTCTGGCTCTGCTGTTGCATGCTCCACAATATTCCTTAAGTCCTGTGATACTGATGTCAAGGACCTGGTCTTTTTGCTCAGCATCCTGCACAAAACACAATTCTCATCTGACTCTCTGCCCTACCATGTTTGGGTGCAAAGCTGAATTCTCTGATGATCTCTGTCATGTCTTCCTGTGCCTTCTGAAAGAAACTTGCCCTCAGAAGTACACATTTAAGGATGAGCAGTATGTCTCTGATATTTACTTTATATGGGGGTCTGTGTTAAAAGTGTTGTCAGTAAGATTACTTTCAGATTGACCAAAGCTAAGGCAGAGAGGAGGTCCTTATTTCAGGTCTTCAGAACTCTTCTGGTTGTGAGTCAGAAAATGAGTCACCAGGCTTGACAAAACCAATGGAAGAGGAAATGGATAGCTTAAGATCTAGTTCTTAAAGAACCTCCATATGGATGATTTCATGCTCAAATATACCATTTCTAGAGCACCTGGAAAATATTTATTTTGCATGTGAATGAATTTTTGACATCACATCTTTGGGGGTTTCCAAGCATTCTCAAATTGTAGAAATTCCAGGCATGTGGGTATAAACCCAACCTGTGAAAATGTGTGTTTAGAAAAGAGGAGGCCATGCTATAAGATGCTATAAGGTCTGAGGATCTAATGCATAACATGGTGACTATCATTGATAACACTGTATTGTATTGCTGACATTTACAAAGAAAGTAGAACTTCAATATTTTCTCTCTCTCTCTCTCTCTCTCTCTCTCACACACACACACACACACACAAACACAAGGTAAATATGTGAGGTGATGGCGGTGTTAACTAGATGGGAGGACTCTGCACAATGTCTACATGTATCAAATCAGTATGACATACACCTAAAATATCTTACAGTTTTATTTGTAATTTATACCTCATTGAAGATGAATAAAATTTATGAGAATTATAAAAATGTAAAAAATGAGAATTATAAAAAAGTAAAAAAATATAGAAAAAGAAAAGGGGGACGGACAACAAGCACTGCTATCCTAGTCACAGCTCTGGTCTCCAGTGGATATAGCTAGATTTTCCTACTTCCTCTCTCTGCTTCTATATTTTTCCAACTTTGGTGCCCTCCATTGATTCACAACCAGAAATGAATTTGCCCCAAGGAGACACTTGACAATGTCTACAGATGTTTCTGGTTGTTACAAGTGGGTTGGGGTTGCTATAGCTCTATAAGAAGCCATGAGTGCTGCTAGATATCCTACCATGCAAACCCTCTACAGCAAAGAATTATCTAGCCCAAAATGTCAACTATGCCAGAAAAATGCTGGTATACCCATTCCCACACTACAGCAGGACAACTACTACAACTTCTGCATTATATATTGCTCCTTTCAAAACATGCAATATATAATGTTACTCCTACTCAGAACCTTTCAGTGGCTTCCAGTTTCCTTTGGAGTAAATGTAAAAGTGCTTTTCATGGCCTATAATGCCCAAGATGACCTGCTTCTGCTACCTCCCTGACTCACCTCCTGCTGCTGGTCCTCTCTCTTACTCCCCCTTCCCCCTGCTACAGCACTACCCTTGTTCTTTGGGCTTCTCTCCATTAATGTCTCTGCTCAAATGTCATTTCCTTACAGAGAACTTCCTTAACAACCCTATAAAAAAAACAAGTAAACAAACTACAAACAACTACCCCATAACTCTCCCCAACCCTTACCTCAGGAGCATAAAATCAGATTAATCATAATCCTGGGTTCATGACATACACTCAATATTAATTCATGAGAAGGCCTCCCTCCCTCCCTTCTTTCTTTCTTTCTTTCTTTCTTTCTTTCTTTCTTTCCTTTCTTCCTTCATTTTTTTCCTTCAAAATAACACAATTAAATGAATGAGTCCAACATCCAACATGAAAGCTCTCCCTTCATCCAAAATAATTACAATACCAAATCTTATATTAACAGCTTTAAAAAAGTTATTTTATATTATTAAACACATCTATGTGTTTCACCTTAAAAGTATATGGTTTGGTTGTATGTGTTTGACTTCGTGAAAAATGCATCAGATGTTTTTAATATCTATGAACTTATTGTCACTGATATTGACATTGCTAAGATCCACCTACGATGTTACATTGAGTTATCACATTCATTTTCATTGTTGCATAATATTCCCTGATTGAATATGCCACGACTTGCTTTTTCAATCCCTTCTTTTCAGACGTTCATTTATTTGTAGGTTATTTGTCATCATAAGCTGGGTTGTTCCTGGGGAACATGTTCTAGAGTTCCTTTTGGGTTTCTCTCAATAGAACTTATCACCAACTGATATTTTATGTTTACTTGGTTAATTTGTTGATTGTTCGGATCTTCTCGGAAGACTACAAATCCGAAGGAAGAAGCAGGAGGACATTATGTTAGGTGAAATAAGCCAGACAGAGAAAGACAAATACTGCATGGTATCATTCATATGTGGAATCTAAAAAAAAAAAAAAAAATTGAACTCAATATTGAACTTATAGAAGCAGAGAATAAAAGGGTGGTTGCTGGTGGTTGCCAGGAACTAGGGATAGAGGAAATGGGGAGATGTTGGTCAAAGGATACAAAGTTTCAGTTATAAAACCAGTAAATCCTATGAATCCAACAAACAGCATGGTGACTACAGTTAAAAATACCATATTGCATACTTTAAAATTGCCAAAAGAAAAGGTATTATTTAAGAATTCTTACCACACATATAATGAAAGGTAACTGTAAGGTGATGGATGTGTTAATAAACCGGATTATGGTAATCCTTTAGAATGTATACCAAATCTTCACATTGTACACTTTCAGTGTATACAAATTTGTCAGTTATTGCTCAATAAAGCTGGAAAAAGTTAAAAAAAATATTTTCTGACTGAGTAAGTAGGATGAGGACAATTATTTATCACACAACTACTTATGTTGACTTTCATCAGACCATATTTATAGTTTTGATGGTCTAATGGTTATCAAAATAACTTAAAGCTTTAAAAATAAAATCTTCTCAAAGGTACTGATATAATCATCTGAAGAAATAGAATATGAGGTAAAATGGACACCTGGATTAGAGTCTAAAACTGAAGACTCTAATTCCGATGATCCTAATTCTCCAAGCTTGCTGAAATATAAAAATAGAATTTTTACTTTTTACAAAGCTGGAAATAATGATTTCCTAGAGGGTGAAATCAAATGTAGACTCATGAGCCAGGTCCACGAGGAGGAAGAACAGACCCCCTCGCTGTAGTTGGCCACACGTGGAGCTTCTAACTAAAGACTTCAGAAGAACAAAAGTACTTCTTGACTGCTGCTGTGACTCTAGTGGTTCCGAAGGAAAGCAATTGTTTTGCCAATGTTATTATAAATTTAGAAGTCATTTACTTCCAAGTTCTAGTATGAATATTTTAAATTTCCTCACATTGGAGTCATAAAATTTCTGAAGGAATTTCTAAGAAAAACCAAAAGATTTCTGGAAGGGGAGCTAGATAAGAGGGGCAGAGCCGAAGAGAGGTTGTTTCTGACAATCTGGTTGTTACTCACTGTTATTAGCATAAAGGGAATAGGCAAGTAATAAAATTAATGCCCCTCAAAGATATAGATACATTTTAGCACCAAAGGATTTGGGGCTCTGAGTAACTATTTTATAACTTCAGCTAAATTTTAAATTATCTGAATCCTTAAAATGTCAAATGAGGGATATTCGACTTGCAAGCATAGTCTATCATGCTTCCAACTTCTTTGAATTTTGAATTTTCATATAAAGGGAACATTCATTTTGCTATCATCCTTCTGATCAAATTAGCTTTATGTGTTGTATAGAACTAGGATTTTCATTTACACACAGGGATTTGATTTGGTTTTCTTCACTACAACTGTTGCCATATATATATGTATATGTATATATATATATATATGTATATATTTTAATAAAAGCTCCAATGCGAAGTATTCTAATGAGTTGGACAAGTTTTGCTTTAAAAATGATCCTCTTGCAATGATTCCCATTGCCATTTAGGGAGCTGCAAGGGCAGAGATTCCAAGGGTGGTATATTTTATCCACAAATGAAATGATAATGTGAACACACACGTGTTTGATCTGTGCCCCAGAGCTTGGCATAGCTGAAGGGAAAAGATGCATCCCTTGCTATCTTTTGAGTCCTCCACCCAAACCCAACCATCAAAGCAGAAAATTTACATGCTCCAAAAGATAGAACTAAGATAAGTGAAAAGCTCTTCAGATATTTGTCTTAAAAATCCTGTGAGAGCATGAATTTGGATCATGAAAGAAGAGCCCAATTTGTACTTTTGATTTTTCCCAGTTTCACATTTTTTAAAAATGTTCTTTCACCACCTCCATGTGCAGAAGGCGATGAGCTTGCTTTGTTTCCCAACTGACCTATTCATATCAAGTTAGTTACACCCACTTAAGTCCCCCCCCCCCCCAATTTTGGCTAGTCCCACGGAGCCCTCCTATGGAGCTGGAAACTGATATAGAGACTTTGGCTTTTTATAGAGAATTCAATCCCTCAGTACCACAAGACACCCTTTCTTATTAAAGAACAAAATGCATGGAAGTTGTTAAAAACAAATCATTTTCCATTAGAAAAAAAGTTACATGATTGGAAAAAGAGAAGAGCACATTGCTGTAATTACCGGTGCATTAAGCAGGGAATGAACAGCTGCGTGAACTTGGAGTCCGTAGAATAACAGCCACTGAGCCAGCTTCCCCATATGGTCCAAGGGAGGAGGTGGGGCCTCGAGCTGCTTGGGGGTTGGCGAGGTGAGGAGGGGGCAAACTGGAATCCCATTCAAGTGAGAAACTCAGGCCAAGAAATGTCTGGCTTCCCCATCCAAGCCCAGCTTCCTCTTTGCGGCAGTGGGAAAATCCCCCTGGCCTCCATAACAAAAGCCTCTAAAATCAATGTTGTTTTTTCCTAAAGAGAGCAAAATGTGAGCCGGTTTCAGACTTTTGGCTACCCTGATACTAATAGAAAAGATGACCTCAGAAAGACTGAATCACTTCCTCAGCTTTCTTGGGGTGTGGCTATATTCCTTGGAATGATTGATATCACTTCATAAACACTATTCGACCTAGCAGTTTGCCTTCTTTCCCAATTAGAAGTAGGGTCCAGCCAACAGCCATGGGTCCTCGCCACCAGGTATTGGTCTCAATCTGTCGCAGCGAGAACCATGACCGCCTTCTAATTGGCATTCCCTTCAGAATTTGGCAAATTTGGTAAAAGCAGACCGGTACTATGGTAACCTTTCATTATCGATGCAAATCCTAGCAGAAAAGCATTCCATTCTTCTTACATTGTATGTCATAAATTAAACACAATAAATTTGATTGTGAAACCTCCTCGGAAGACATTCCTGAATAGACAGGGCAGAAAATGCTTGCATTATGCTGAACAGAGCCAAAATTTGATGGTCGCTGGAAGGGTTGGCTATAAGGAATCTAGCTATTTACAGGGGGAAATACCAAATAAGCTACATCATGTGCAAGGAGATGTTTTTGTGAGTACCATGTCCAAAGCCATTCAAGTTTCCACTATATGAAGGTTATTATCACAGAGGATGGTGGCCAGCTGTTCTTCATTGCCACTGAAACAGAATGAGAGAGGAAAAAAAAGGGGGGGCATTAAAATGGAATTGGAGGAATTCAAGCTTCCTGAAAATTTGAGTTAACAGGAGAGGGATCCACTCCAGGGAGTTATATAATAGATGCCTTTCATTTGCCATAGTTTTTTTTTTTTTTAATGAAAAGAAGCACTTTTAAGATGTTCAGGTATAATTTTGTTCATCAGTAAAATCATGAATTTGATAATCTTACAAGATTTCTCCTACTGAAAAAAAATCTGAAAAATCTTTCAGAATTAGGACTATGGGAAATTAGGCTGTGTCCAGAGGGTAATTTATTCAGTCATGCTATGGTGCCATGGAATCTCATAAAATGAGAGAGTATTACTAAAGGAATCCTTTCAGAAATGGGTGCATTTCATGCCATAGACTTAGGCATATTCCAAGAAGGAGTGTAATAATTTCCCCGTAAGTTAATTCAGGTCATCTTTAGAAATATCTAAATTCAAAAATAAAATTGAAATGCAGCATTCCACTCCAAGTAGGCACAATACTCTCTCTTAGGGAATGATTAGATTATAGCTAAACATATAGATACATGTTAAAACATCATTTGATGGGCACTAGAGTGTCCATTTGTATTTGATTTGTGGACTCGCTACTTAGGAATTTATAACTCTATTCAAGCAGGTAGTGAAATATTAACTTGGAGGACTTTCTTAATAAACCAATTAATAAATCAACCGTGGGAAGAACACTTATTCCAGTCTTTCACACATGGAGTAAATCCATCATTGCCAGACCTCTGAGTCCCATAGAACACTCTCTTTTATGTTTTCCATTCAACTTGAATGAAACTTTCTACTAGATCTCATTCCAGATCCCCCAGGAGACAGAGCTACCTTTCAGCAATCAGTACTCTACCAAGGTCTGCACTCAAGTCTGAGCATTCTCAGTAGACATGAAATCAGAAATGCAGGATTACTGGATTTCACTCTGATGGCCTCTCTTCTCAGAAACCATTACAAAGGAATATCACCTTCCTTTGCGGCTCTTCTGACAGCTGACGTGTATCTCTATGACCTCGGCTTTCTAGGGACAAAATGACAATTTGTAGATAGCTTTAAACTTTAAAAGTTCTCCAAGCAGGAAGGAAAAGAGTAAAACAACAAAAGAATAGTTTTACTATGTAAGTGTATCTTGACTTAAACTCCTGGGCATTTAGGCCTCATGCCATGGCCCTCTGCATGAGTTAAGTGGAGTCAGAGATTTTTTTCCAAGTTATAGAACTGGTTACTTACTTCAGAAAGTACTCAATTATTCAGTTTGAGCTACAGAGCGTATGAACATGAACAAGTTTACCAGGGTCTGGAACTACAAGTGAAATTATTAATTTTCTCTCCTTTTTATCCTTTTATGGAGCATTACCAAGGGATCCAGTAAATTATCTGCTCGGTTTCCCTCCTTATAAATAATTTGTCCTCCATAGAGTGTGGAGTCCACTTCTGAGTAAGAGATAGCTTATCACAGCAGTTGACAGCAGGGACTCTGGACCCAGGCTGAATGGGCTTGAAATCCAGCTTTGTCACTTGGCCTGCTTTGTGCCCTTCGGGTAAGTTACTGACCTCTGAGCTTCTCTTTCTTCCCCTGTAAAACTGGGATTTCACAGCACCCCTTTCTATATGACTGTTCTGAATATTCCTGAAAGTTGCTGGAACAGTTTGCCTATAGCTCTGTGAGATGAGCAGAGGGAGAAGAAAGATAAAACAGACCAGCACAAGAACACCATGGGATCAAAAATAACTACTTTCTGCCCAAGAAGAAAAGCACCATGCTCCTTGATATGTGTCTCTGGTGCACCAATATATTAATCTGCATTTTATTTAGAAGCAAAGGTAAATCTTTTACTTATAAATGTGAACTACTAGATAAAATGGACCATAGTCAGCAATTTTTAGGGGAGGTAAGATGACATGCTATGAACATCCTACATTGTCGCACTTATCGTGAGCCCTTCCTGAACTCAGTAGCAGTAAATAGATGGAAAGGAAGACGATGGGTAAAGGGTGACACTAGTCCATTTTAGTCGGTTAGTGCAAAGTCCCAGAAGATGGGCAGCTGGAGTTAGGAGCCTCCTCTTCTCCATGCTCCGCATTCACTGTCCCCTTCACAGATATAGAAACCGCCTTGGTCCTCCCAAACCTTTTAAGATCAATCATAAGTCTGGCTTTATGCACTCATGTCTTCACTCGTCAATGTAACCAAGACTAACTGAGTGCCTACATGCATCTGGGACTGCCAGGTGGCAGCATGGAAGATAGGCGGGGGTGGGAGGTGGGGGGTGTGAAGAATGACTTACCTTCACAAAGGTGAATAAATAGGACACCCTCCTGATCCTCAAAGAATGCATGGTCTAGTGAGACACATAAAACAAATGATCCAAAGCAAACAAAGATCAGAGCAAAAAAATCACATGGCACATGATGACAAAATGATGTGTGGGAAAGAGACCAAGTGAGAAGGAAGTGTCTAGCACTGCTTAGGAAAGGTTGGGGGGTTTGATGTAGGGCTACAAGGAAAATAGGAATTAACCCAGTGAAAAGGGAGAAAGGAGGGCAGCAGGAAACAGCAGGGACAGAAGAAATGTCACAGTGTAGCCATCAAGGCCTACAAGAACTCCATGTGCACTGAGTGTGTCTGGCAGTGTGTATGGTTGGAATGCTGGGCCTTCTGCGGCTGCATGGGTTTTCCAAGCATGGGAGAAACACAGTGTTTTCAAAAGGCCACAAGTGACAGGGTGGTGGAAGGCCACTTCCGAAGTCTTGCTACCATCCTGGGTTATCTGATTTCCTGCAAGAAGAAAGCAAGGCAGGGTCCAAGCATGCTGCCAGGGTTTAAATGAAGAACGCACCATTTTAAAGACCAGCTTCCAGGAGTCTGGGAAGACAGTAACAGGATACTCTCTCCCATGTGGCCCGTGTCCCATCCAAACATCTTGAAAGAGACAATTCTGAGTACCAGGAAGGAAGTATCGTAAGTCACAGTCCTCTCATTATCTTATGGTTTCACCCATGGGTAGGATCTACTTATTACACGTTACCTAAGTGACAAACGTAGCTGTCTTCCGTTAACCATGGCCAATACTGATTTGTATTGATCAACAGCCTTTGGTCTAATTATGGAAAACATTCCTCATCACCTCAAATCCTGCAAAGGAGAGAAGGAAGAACCAGATTACCCAAGCCCAGGTGAGCAGACCCAGGAGGGTTTGAACATGGGTGTGGCTTGTGGAAAAACAACAACAACAACAACAACAACAACAACAACAACAACAACTGATGCCCCTCGAAGAGGGATTTTCACAGCTAAACTTCAGATTAGGAGGATAAATAAGCACCTCCAGCTTCCTCAGTTGCCACGACGACGAGGAGACCTCATGATGGATCATGGTGATCCAGGCCAGACAGGCCACAGGTTGGCACCTCCCTCAGCCTATAAGCTCACTCTCCGGGGAAAATCCCGACCCCCTCCAAAGGTAGGGTCGAAGCAACAGCAGAGCCTGCAGCAAGGCCTGCGATATCCGACCCTTCTCATTTAGATAATCGCGTCCTAAAAATTGATCTGGATTTGCCCTTACCGGCCTTAAATTTGATAGGACTCCACCGGGCCTGGTTTTCACGGCCCTGCAACACGGGCGAGAAAAGGACAATAATCACCGCATTTTCTCCACTTCTCCAGTTTCTCAGAAAGCAGCATGAGTCAGCCCTCGGCAAAGAGCAGGGCTGGAATCCGAGTCGGTAAACACGTCGTGGGGTGGACCGGGAGCGGCCCCGCGGCCCCCTGGCTCCTTAACGGGGGGGACGGATCGCGCTGCCTCTGCAAGCCCGGCTCAGCGAGCTAAGCCACCGAGCAGGTGCAGCGCGGGCATCCCGCACCCCGCAACTAGAAAGTCAGCCCGACCCCATCGGCGGGGCTCCACAGCCCCCGGAGAGGAATTCTTAGGACAAATAAATGGGGGCGGGTGTAAAGGGAGGGAGTGCAACACCTGTCTCTGCAGCTGGCCCGCAGACCTCCCTTTAATGTGCTGTCTGCTGGGAGGTGGGGGCGGCTCGGGTTACACGGAGGCCTGAGCCTGCAGTGGGGCCCGCGGAAAGGAATTCCACGACCAGGAGATGTGAGGCTTGATCTGCGGCCAAAAACAATGGTGAAAAGGTACAAAATGAAAAGCTCCCGTCAGGACAAAGGCACTCAATCACCCAACAACACATAGCCCAGGGCCCCATAGCCTGGGGTGGGGTGGGGTGGGGTGGGGGGCTTTTGAAGAAAATGCACCCCAAACCCAAGTCACAACCGGATTAACATCCTGGTTGATCCCCTTTTACCTTCTAAGGCTTCTCTGGCTGGGGCTACTTGTTGAAATCGAAATGAGAAGACTACAGCCGCCAGCAGCGCACAGGGTCTTCCTTTAAGGGCTGGTTCTGGCCCGTCTCGGAAAAGCAACTCGCAAGATTTATGCTCCTCTGCCTTCCGTCCATGTTTTTCTTTTTTTCCATCTAAGAGGGAATTTAGAGCAAAGTTGCCCATGGAACTCCAACCCGGTGCTGGAGAAGTCCTCGCTGACTTGCAAAATAACTGTGGCTTCAGCAGAATTGTGTGCCCAATAGTAACAGAGGTGAAGGCCATAAAAATTGTGTGCACACATTAAAAAAAAAAAGAAAGAAAGAAAGAAAGAAAAAGAAAGAAAGAAAGAAAGAAAGAAAGAAAGAAAGAAAGAAAGAAAGAAAGAAAGAAAAGGAGAAAAGACCCTGGGATTAGGTAACCACAATGGATCTAAAGGGTTGTTTTGCCATATAGAACGCAGAGATGTTTGAATAATGGGAACAGATAGAATGGAAGGGACGGTCTTTCCAAGAAAAGCTTAGAAGAAGAGAGAGATTGATTTGTGGTGGTCCTCCTTCACATTGCCTCCAATGCCCATGGAATGGGAGTCCATGCTTAGAAATCCTACAATGGGAAGCAGAGTCATTCATGCCCCAGGCAGAGCCTGAATAAAATGCACTGACTTTGGAAAAGTACCAGTAAGATAAAATTCAAGATGAGCCTCAAGGATCTCTCAGCTCCTTGAAAGTTGGAGCTTTAGCAGGGACCTGCCCAGTGGGGGTCAATGAAGCAGGAAGTGAAGCCCTGGACACCAATGCCAAATTTGTTCTCTTTGAATTTGACTGTATGTGGATTCTGACTATAACAGATGGAATTGATTGGGTCAACAGTATGTGAAATGAGAAGGATGCCTGGCCCCAAGAAGGAAACAAGTGCCCCAGGTGTCCAGTCCCAAATATTTTGGCAGTGAATTTAGACAGGGGTGGGGGGAGGAATCATTTATTCATGGAAAACTTTCAATGAACTGTTTTTAAAAATGCCTAACATATCTATGGCCAGTTTCCACTGTAAACAGATATAAGCAAAGTTTCATTGTTAGTTTGAAGAAATGATTCCACTTTATTGAATTTTTGCTTCATATTCTAATTAAAACCTTAGTGACAGAGAACTCAGGTAAAATATGTTATCAAGACCTTAACACAAGCAAGTATTTGGTTTTTCAATGACACTCTCTTCCTTTTGTAACATTTGAAGAAACTTTCATCATTTCTAATATGTAAATATAGCTTCTTCTCTAGAATCATCTCCCTTTGTCTTTCAAATACACAGTCTCTCTCATTCTCTCTCTCTCTCTCTCTCTCTCTCTCTCTGTCAATAGGAGAGGACACACATTTGATTCATGTCCCCATTTGCATTTATGAACAAACCCCACCTCCATCACCATAAGAAATAATTGGAGTCTAGCCCTTACTCTGCTTCACTGAATATACTGAAGAAAACAGTCCATTATATCAGCACTGACTCTATTGAATGAGATGTTGGTTGATCTGCTTGGGCATTTTCACTGAGTTTGAAAATGCACGATTATAAGTGTTCCTAACTGTGGTGAATTATGAATCTGCATTTGACATCCATCATATCATTTGTTCTATGCTCTGTCTGGTGAGAAGAGGAATGGGGTCAAATAGCAATTAAAGTGTGGGCGCATTTCAAGAATTCGAAGCACTTTTCAATATTACTTATTTTCATCAAGTCTGCCAAGTATCAGTTTGCTCACAGAAAGGCAATATTTTGGATTGAAAGGAAAAATATCTAGCAATTCACAATTTCTTTATGGCTATTGACAACATTGTGAAGTCACATAAATTTTTAGTCGATATTCATGCACATTGAGAATCCATTTGACATTTGATTTCAAAGGTTGCCCTACTACCGAGAAACCATGACACAAATCCCACATTTCATTTGCAATAATCAGCTTAAAGTACTAAACATTACTTTTCTAGGTCTGAGACCATGTAAATAAAATTATATATTTTTTAAAGGCAGAAGATTGGCAGGAAACATAAACTTCATTTAAGCACTAGCTTAGAATTTCTTTATAGGAGCAGGATTCAGCTCCAAAATGTTCTTGAAGGTGAAGATGGTAAATTAGACCATCACTTCCAGAAGCAAGTCTTTTATCTGTCATATAATGTAAGCTGTCTGTCCAAAGCAAATCCAGTTTAGAGGCAGATTCAAGTTTACTGCATACTTTCCGGGGATACCACTCATATGCTATAGTCACAAAATACTGTTTTCTGACTTTCTTCCTTCTGCAGGCAGGAAAATATTATATGAACCTTTCTCAGACACAGAGTAGCGCTCTACCTCTATTTAGAATTACACTTGAAGGTAGTAGCCATCATGGTACGAGATAGGATCAAAAGTAATTTCAACTGTCTCGTGTTTATTTTTTTTCTCCACAAAAATGTAGTTCTCCTAAGTCTGGACCTTTAAAATAATGTATTGTAATTAGACAAGCCATGGTATGTAAACATTTCAATTTGACTTAATAAACAAGGATTAAATACCTCAATTTACTAAGTGAAATCTGGGGTGCAAAGATAAATAAGACAGTGTCCCAAGAGGGGAAAGCAAGCAGGCCTACATATATAACTGTATTATGAAGGAGAATGTTTTAAACACTTAATGAATTTGTATACGGAATCCTCTAAGAACACAGACGAAGAACAATAATTCTCTTGTGAGGCAAGGATGTCTTTAGGGGAAAGTGAAATTTGATATGTTTCTTGAGAATGAATGGAATTTCAACAAAGGAGATAGCAGGTAGTTATATCCTTAGAAGAGTGTGGGACAATCAGCTATGGCAGAGAGCCTAAGATAATCACGCTTTAGAAGAGGCTTTGCTGCCACTATCTTTCATAGGCTACTTGGGAGTTCAAAAAATGGAAATGTCAAAATCGACTTGTACTTATGGTCAAAAAGAGAAGTAGTGTTTAGTGGCCTGTAGTCTTTGCCCCTTCCCACAACCACCACCAAGTGCACAGCCAAGACTGTTGCCTACCGTCCCAGTCAAGAGATGAACATGAAGGCATGTAAGCCAAGTAGCCTCTATCTCAATTCTCTGCAGAAAGTGCTTGTACCAAGTTCACTAATGATATCCTTGACACTGAATACTCCCTTCCCCAACCCCAAAAGATCCTATTTCTCCTCTTGGCTGCATTTGACTATGTTGGACTCCTTTATTGAAACAGCTTTTCTGACCTTCCTAGAACCACCATTGCCCTCTTCTTTCAACCATTCTTAAAAGTCAATGTCATTGATTTCCATAGCTTTCTCTAATCCTGTATGCTAATGAATTACAAATCTATGTCTCAAGAGCTGATCAGTTCTGAGTTCCAGACTTATGTATCCCCTACCTCTGACCATCATTTATTCTACTTAATCTTATACCACTAACAATAAAGCAATCACTAAATCCTCATTTTTATTCCTCATAACCAATCCACCTTTCTCTGTTCATGTAACAAAGAATCTAGTAAGGCCAAAGTGGCTGCTCCCAAATATTTTTTTTTAAGATTTTATTTATTTATTCATGAGACACACACACACACACAGAGAGAGAGAGAGAGAGAGAGAGAGAGGCAGAGACACAGGCAGAGGGAGAAGCAGGCTCCCTGCAAGGAAGCGCAATGTGGGACTCGATCCCATGACTCTGGGACCACATCCTGAGCCAAAGGCAAACACTTAACCACTGAGCCACCCAGGCGTCCCATGTTCCCAAATATTTCTGCAACAGTTCCTGAGCACTCCCACTTCCTCTGGTCTTTTCTTTCTATTTTATCATTCACACTGTGGCCAGAATGTTTCTCCTCAATACAAATATGATTCTATCACACCTGTGCTTAAAACGGACTTCCAATTCTTTGTTGTATAAGGTCCAAGGTACTTCATTATCTAGTGTTTTCTTACCTAACAAACTTCAGCAGAGTGAGCATTCTCCCCTTTGTATCTTGTGCGATCACTATCCTGAGCATCATTACTTGTTATATTATGTGTGGCCATTTTTTCTTGCCCAGAATCAGCCCACTCACCCATTTTCCCCCATCTTTAATTGACTCAGTTTAAATAGCACCTGCCTCTGTAACCAACTTTCCCAACATGCCATCATCACTACCACCACAACCATGAGGTAAGGCGCCTTACTATGTACATTTAAAATCTCACACTTCCTCTAGAATAGCATGTAGTATGCTTTTTTTTTTTTTACTTACTTACTTACTTGGTTATGTATTTATTTTATGTTTTCTGCTCTAGAACTGATCTCTATAAATACTAAGGGAAGATTTTTTCTTGATTATTATGTATCCTCCATACACATCATAGAATCTGGCATACAGCAACTGCCTAATTACTATTCCTAGACAGAGAAATAGCATCGATATGTAAAGATCAAGTTCTGAAACAATTAGTGTTCTAATAATTTTGAGATATAATTAGAAAAAATCAAGGCTCATAAAAGAGATTGATCCAGATGATGACAAAGTGATCTCTTTAAAATTTATATGTTTTAATCTGATCTTCTTAACAATAGGAAAAGAAAACAGATCTATAAGCAAGAAAATGTGAACAGACTGTGGCTTTTGGAAACGGTAATGATGGCAACAGATGGAATAGGTTAGAGAGAAAGGATACCAATGAGGCATCTATTTTAAAAAGCTTAAAAGAATATAATGTTTAGGGGCTCAGACAGTTAAGTGGCTCTTTCAGCTCAGGTCATGATCTCAGAGTCCTGAGTTCAAGCCCCACATCCAACTCCCTGCTTAGGGGGTTTCTGCTTTTCCCTCTCTCTCTCTGCCCCTCCCACCACTTGTGCTCATGTGCATGTGCACACATGTGCACCTTCTTTCTCTGACTCTGTCTCTCTCTATCAAACAAATAAATAAATAAAATCCTAAAAGCTTAAAAAAGAGACAGTGAACCAGTATCACGGGAACAGGGATGAAAAGGAGAAAAAGGGTGTAGAGCAGTGTGGACATAGGACTGACAACACTAGGATTTCCTCTGAATGTGGAAGCTGGGGAAAGATGAATGTAAGGCCTAAAAAAGTTGATATGGAGGAGACAGGAAAACAAAAAGAGAACAAGGTAAGACTTAATT